TCTCTCTCCCACTCTGTCCCTTTATGGTCAAATTAAGATAAATAAGTAAATAAAGAAAGTTCAATAAAATAATTCTTAAAACTAAGGGGAAAAAAAGAAAAAGAAATAGAAACGTTTCCACTGGGAGACACGGACTTGGTGCCCAGGCCAACCTGAACACGCGGGCACGGTCGCACACGCCTGTAATCCCGGCTAATCGCGAAGCTGGGACAGGTGGGAGGCGTCAACACAGGACCCTGTCCAAATACCTCTCTGTTACTACCGCCCAGCCCCATGAAAGAAACAGAAACAACAGAACAGTAACAGACTGTGGGGTGGACACAGACAGAGCAGGCTTGGGAACCACTGCCCCCAGGCCTCGGCTTAAGTAAGGGTGAGCTTCAGTCCTAGAGATGGCGCCACCCCTGGGAGAAGCGCAACACTGCCCCCTCGGAGCATGTTCCCCGTCCCGCGGTTCTGAGGAGGCCTGGCTGGCACGGCTGGTGGGGTGACCAAGGGTTTCAAAACCCAACAGACAGACCCTTCCCTTGGAGGCCCTCAGTGGTGTGTGACGTGAGGAAACCTAGCCGAGTGTCACTGTCACTCCACAGAGTGCCTTCAGAGCTGTGGCTCTCGCCTGCCTCTCGAGAGTTACAGCCCAACGGTGGAAGAGACGAGTTGGAGGGAAGGGAGGGGACGACCGAGATGGCCCGGGTAAGGACAAGGCAGCCACAGGGTACTGACTCCGTGTGGCTTAACCAAGCTCCTTAAGTAAAATATAAGGAACATACTGGATTATTATTATTTTTAAAAGTTTGTGCTAAAGGGTGCGTGTGCTTGCTAGAAACAGAATCCTCCAGAAGGGGATGGCCATGCCAGAATCCTTTTCTCCATTTTCCGTTTGGATTTTGGGTATGAACACACACGTGACCGCCACGTTGTTGAAGCTGTAGGGTCTGGGACTTGAACTGAACAGTCGGCCGTGTGGGACACAGCACTTTAACCACCATGCCACGAGCTGGCTCTAGTTTGACTCTTTCGAGGGCTTCCCCCATGCACATAGCCAGCTTTTGGGCCCTGGCAAGCAGGGCTAACCTGAGGCCTTCTCTCTCCGAGGGGTCACCCACGTGTGTCCTCCCAGTCTTCTCCAATTGTGGCTAAATGATCCACCATAGCTCTCTCCAAACATGGCTCTTTGATCTGTAGCTTCTGATCTCAGGACCGAGGCTGGGGACTCGGGGACCATGTTCCTTAGGTCTGTGATCAACTTTGGAGACCTCCCGGGGAGCAAGGCCAGTCAGAGGCAGGTGGAGAAATCTCAAGAAAACAGCATTCTGGGTCCTGAACACCTGTGCTCTGCTGTGTTTGGCCACTGATGTGCGATCTCAACATCCCCGTCTCCTCGGTCACAACTGAGGGACGTGTGCTGACGTCAGAAAATGCTGCTGCGGTCATCAAAGGGAGCTTTCTGAGATGACTTGGCCCATCATTTAATACCGCATGGCCAATCATGGTTCGAGTCCTGAACCTGGCAGCTTGCTTGCTCTCTCTCTCTTCTCCTCTGGCAAAAAACCCATGTGAAAAAATAATAAAAAGTGAATAAAATAATTAAAAAAAAAAAAAAAAGCGAGATGGACTAATGGGACACGTGAGAAAACGAGGAAAACGTTAACTGTAATATCTAGGTGGCAGGACTGTGGGTGCCTACTTAAAAAATTCTTCCAGCTTTTCGGAATTCTGGAAAATAAAATCATTTAGACTATTGGAGGGCCGGCTGGTAAGGCGGCTGGATCCCACATGGTTGACTGCCGGTTTGAGTCCCAGAACTGGAGGCCTGACCAACATGCTGTGAGCCCATGTGTGCATGGCCCAAATCCCAGGAGTATAATGGAGGAAAGGGGGTTGCAGGGTGGCAACCCCACGTGGGGTTGCTTTTTCTCTGACTTTGGGGAGCTCATGAGCCCTACAGCAAACACTTAAAGACTTTGTGCCGTGTGCACCTACGGCACTTGCACAGAACGGAGGCACGTTCCTTGCCACACTTGGGCTCTCAGAGTTGGGGTCCCCAGCAGGGACCTTGGCCTTGACATGGGCGGTCAGCAACCAGGAGCAGCCTCTCCTGCCTAGCCCACCCCACCGCCGCCCTGTGCCAGCTGCACCACCCTGCTCTCGAGGCCTGGCCAGTTCCACAGGCCCTTTCTCTGAGGTCCTCCTGCATCCCTAATGCCCCCGGAGTCATGTGGGCGGATGCTGCTTTATAACCAGCAGCTCTGTGTGAAGGGGCGTCAAGGTAAGGCCAGGGCTATGGTCTCTCATGGAGAGGCCTCTTCTGACCCAGCTCCACCCAGAGGTCATACATGTTTCCGACCTCTGGTTCCACAACGCTGCACACCACCCCACCAGCAAAGGGCCTCTGCCTGCCCAGACTCAGCTCCGTGGCTGCTCCAAGCCCTTCCCATACTCCAAAGCTCCACCTTGCTCTCTGGGGCCTGCAGGGCCCGTCTCGGCCCAGCAGCTGCACCATGCCCACTCCTGCGGACCTGCTCCCTGCTCCTGCGCTGCCAGAAAGCAGAGTCTGGGTCTTCCGTCATTTTTGTCCCCATCACGCACGGTGAGGTACTCGATGCTGAGAAAATGCTGAAACTGACCGTCAAGTCCACCCAGGAGCTTCTCCCGTGCAAAACACTCATGCGGCTGTTCTGTTCCTGTGTCCTTCTCCCCTAGCAGGCGGGGTGCTCCTCCGAGGGCACCCCCAGGTCTCGTTAGTTTTGCCTACCCTGGGTGTCTACCTCGGCACCCAGCACAGACTAAGAGGGCGACAATGTCTGAACTAAGCCCAGGAAGTAGATGGGGGGAGATGTAGCCACCACCTAGAAAAGGACCCGTGAGAGGAACGCAAAGCAGGAAAAGCTCGGCTTCACCTTTCAGGCCAGGGTCGGCACACTTACCCTGTACGGGTCTAAGGGCTCTCCGGCCTCCAAGGCCATCGGGGGCCCTCTCATGGCCTGCTGCTGCAGAGGGAAAGCAGTCACACAGGCCACGCACACCCGGCCGTCTCTGCAGAAGCGGGTGGGCGGAGCCGGGCCCAGTCCATCTGACCATGCAGACCCCGGGCGAGTGGGTTCTGGAGCCCCACAGCTGGAGGGCTCCTGAAAACGAACTCCCCACTGTGAGCACTTGACAGAGCCAGGAAGGAAGCTCTGTGGGGACTCAGGTGTGAAAATGGCTGCATCCTGGGCAGTCGGTGAGTGCGTGTGAGCCACTCCGTACGCACAGCCCTCCGTGCCGTGAGGTGTCCAGTGCTGGCCGGACTCTGCTCAAGGGCGTGTAACAGCCACTCATATCTGCAAGTGTGTGCTTCCTCAGCACTTCACTCTGGGTCGAGTGTGTCTCTCGGGGTGTGCCTGGTGTCACCCTGTTGCTAGTTTCTGGGTTTAGAAAATTTGGAGTCTTAGGGCCAGCAAGTGGCGTGGTGGTTAAGGGCACTGGGCTCCCATATGGCTGACCACGGTTTGAGTCCTGGGCCTGGCAGCTTGCTTTCTTGCTTTCGCTTTCCCTCTCTCTCACTCTGTCAATCTCTGGTGAAATTAAAGTAAATAAATACAGTTAAACAAAACAATTCTTTAATAATAATAAAATTGGAGTCTTTTCTTTTCTTTTTTTTGGTTAGAGGGCACATGTATTCGCCAGAGAGGAGAAAGAACTCTCCCGCTGGGAACGGCTACATTGCAATCCCTTCTCCTCCATTTCCCCCTCTTGTCAGAATTTTGGGGATGTGTCACAGTGCCTGGCATGTTTCTCAAGTTGCTGGGTCTAGGACTCGAACTATGCCGTTGGCCCTGTGGGATCCGGCTGCCTTAGCCAGTAGGCCACAGAGCTGGGCCCCAAATTCGGAGCCTTCAGAGTCTGCCTTTTCGCCATTCTCCTGAATTCACTACTGCTCATCGCCAAACCCCTGGCCCCGGCCACAGTCCCCTGATGTGGAAGATCACACACGGTTTTTGGCTGGTCTCTTACCTAATCTCCCCGTACTCCGACCCTCCTGCTCTGACGTCACACTCTGGAGAGCACACTGTCCCTAAACCATCGGTGTCTCTTCTCTACCGTCAACTGGCTCACCCGTGCCCCGGCCCTGCCTTCGTGGTTGTCCAGCTGGAGTGCTGACCGGGTTTGTCTTGGGTGGTCCTGTCTGCCCTTCCTCAGTTCTGTGGGACGGGAGCTAGACGTGAACTGCAGCAGGCTAGCCCCTGCCAAGGGGCACTGGTGGGAAAGCCTCGCCTCCCTCCCTCCCTTTTCTGCTCTGGGTGATGTGAGCAGTGCAGGCTCCAACAGCAAGGGGACTCCTGGGTTTCCGAGGTCGAGTCTGGGGGAACGTGCTCCTGATCCTTGGGGGCAGAGAGAGCTGACAGCTGCAGCCCGCGGGCTCTCCGGACCCTCACTGGGTCGAGAGCCCTGGCCTGGCCCATGTGCTCCCTGGCTAGAGACTAGGCGTGGCCTCCTGCGGTGACCCCCCTCCAGGTAACGCCCTGCCCCTGCTCGCTCTCCAGCCTTCTCACACCTTCTGAACAACTGTGGACCTGGAGCGGCTTCCAAGCTACTTGCCAGCCTGGGCACGGACCCCAGACCAAAGCAGGGACCCGCTCTCAGCCTGTGCTGTCGCAGACTCCAGACTCCAACATACAGTAAAAAAGGACGGGATTGGGGAGAACGGAAGAGCAGCTAGCCGACAGAACCCCTGAGGGAGAGGACGCGCAGACACTGCTGTTCCCACTCCTGGGTGGCCTCCTGCTCCAACACCACCCGGCCCTTGCCTGCCTCTCTGTAAGACGCTGCTGCCTGCCGAGGGCCGCCTCCAGACCCAGGACGCGGGCTCTGCCCTAAGCCGGAATGTCCTCAGCAGCTGCTCCAGCCGCGACTCGTAGTCCTTCACTTCATGGCTCATTCTACGGAGATCTAGCGGAGGCCCCCTTCTCTTTCCTTTTGCCTTACACCCTCCAACTCCAACATATTCGCTTTCAATCTACTGGCATCGTCACGCCGCCCCATCCCCCAGACCCGATGACCTCAGCTCACGGAGGCTCTGAGCAGGCCCCGAAGGCCTCCAGGGAGCCGGCCCAGCTAAGCCTCCTCAGCCCTTCCCAGTTCCCCTCGCCCGCACTGCCCAGTCTGAATCGAGAAGTGTTGGGCCTCTTCGTGCGATGCCAACTGTACCATTGGGTTGCAGCGATAGGAGCTACAGAAAGGGTTGGAACCCGAATTCTCATTTCTCTTGTAACTGTCTAGCCAGGGGAGGGAAGTATGGAGGACTTTTTTTTAAAAAAAAAAATAAAGAATTATTTATTTATTTAATCCCATTTGTTGCTGTTATTTTTTAATCTTAATAGAGAGAGACAGAGAGACAGAGAAAGGGAAAGGGAGAAAGCAAGCCACCAGGTCCAGGACTCGAACCATGGTTGCCCATGTGGGAATCCAGAGCCTTTAATCACCAAGCCACCTGCTGACCCCAGACAGAGGACCTTTAACCCTCTGGATTTAGTTAACTGGTGGCTCTGCTGTGCACAGGAGGAAAGGAGCCCTACAGTTCACGTCTCCCTTCTTAGGAAGAGGCTGAAACTGCCTCAAGACAGGCCGGAAGGAAAGAACAGCCTCAACTACAAGCAGTTTCCATTTAACCACGTTCACCATCTTTGAGTGAAGGAAGAGGTTCTAGTCTCTTAATTAAAGAGGAGGCTATTCCTAAAAGAACATAAGTAACTAAATTTTTAAAAATTTATTACTATTATTATTTTTTTTAATTTGTTACAGGGCTTGTGCATTCACCAGAGAGAGAAGAAAAAAAAAAGACGGTAAAAAAGCAAGCTGTCAGGTCCAGGTCTTGAACTACGGTTGATCATGTGGGAGTCCAGTACCTTAACCACTATGCCACCTGCTGGCCCCACTCTCTAAATTTTAATTTTTTTTTTTGAGAAGTGTTTGCTATAGGGCATGTGCACCCACTAGAAAGACAGAGAGACAGAAAGCGAGAAATCACCCCCCGGGGGGCGGGGTGGCCACGCCGCAATCCCTCCTCCTCCAGTCTCCTCTCGGGATCTTGGGCACGCACTCACATGCGCCCGGCGTTGAGTTTAAGCCACCGGGTCCGGGACTCGAACCAGTTGACTACATGGGAGTTCAGCGACATAGCCATTACACTAACTGCTGGTCCCCTAAATTTGAATCTTAAAGCAAAGAGAGCAACTTTCAAAAAGTTTGGAAAATAATACAAATGCTGGGCCTATTCTGGGGACTATGACACAGAGGTGGGGGCGCTCCAGGTGAGACTGCTGCAGTGTGCAAGCCGGTTCCTCTTCTTGGAGAGCAGGGCCCTGACTTATCTGTCCCACGAGCCCCTTCTGTCCTCGTCCCCCCACCCCCCAGCGCTGTGAGGTCGAGTTATGAAGCCTGGTCTGGTCTGGCTCCCCCTGCGGACACCTCTCCTGTGCGCGCCCTCTCAGTCTCCCCAGCGCGCCCAGGCCATAACCCTGCAACTCTGTCAGCAGTGTCTGTCCCGACTTGCAATTTGGGTAGTTACTGCACACAGTCCTATGGTCTCAACTCTCAGAACCAAGTTCTACGGCACTAAAAGTTATACTTCAGGGTTTCTGAACAGTTAAAATGTCTCACGAAGCAAAGCATTATGTTTTCGGAACAAAGACCTTGATACATTTCTATACATTTCACAGAAAACCCAGTAAGTCCCTCTGTCTAAACACTGAAGTCCCACGGGAGGTATTATTCTAAAAATTGCCATTTTCACTTTACATCAACCTCCGTCACTGTCAGCTACAGGTCAATATAAACCGCCACAAATGAAGAAATCACAAATGTGTCTTTTGAACAACAGGGAAAGACCGAGCCTGAACTCTCCAGGTGGAAATCGTGCAGTAACCAAGAGGGACACACTCCATCTCTCTCTTCAGCACCCTCTGGGTTCCAGCCCATCCTCTCATCAGCGTGAACACGTATGACCTCAGTCCACGTACCTGGCGAGTTTAAGATCTGTATCCCGGCTGGAATCTAGCGGTCTCTTCAAAGATGAGCTCTTTCAGCTTCTCCTTAGGCAAGTCATCCAATTCCATGTCGAACTTGAATGGTGCTTCAGCGACGGGCTTTAAGGAAAACCAAACATGTCAGAGTCCGAAGCTGTCCGAACCCGGCTAAGGCAGACGTTTATGGCCCTCGAAGTGACTATGGCTTAGGGTCGAAAGGGCATACGCCGGCTCTGCTGCGTCATAAAAGCACTCTCCTCATGCCACACACTTAATACACAGACTGGAAGCAGCTGGTTCCTCAGTGAGCTTTGGAACTTAGCACCAATCGCAGAACAATTTGTGAGTGTTTTAAGGGTGCTCAGCAGTGCAGTGACAGGAACAGATCGGCGCTGTTGCAGGGCGTGGTGTGTTTATAACATCAGAACCCACGGTAGCAAAATAAACCGTAGTATCTTCATACAAAGAAAATAGAGCTGTCTGAGGCTTCGAGAAGTTTAACATCGTGGGGAAATGCCCACATCTGGTTAAAGAGAACAAACTACTGTGTTTCTAAAATTTAGGTAGAGTAATGTAAGGCAGAAAAAGATACATGCCAAAATTCTGACCGCGGTAACTGTAACCATCTTATAAAGTGATCTGTCTTACCTTGTTCTCTAAGTGTTCTTTTTAATTTTTTGCAGCACTCAATAAATAGTAAGGAAACTACTTAAACAAAACAACTGTCTATACTTAGATCAAAGAATGCCTCCTTGTTTCTTACTCAATGACATCATTCAACCCACATTACATTTTGATTTTTTTTTAAGAGATTTTTGCTATAGGGCGCTTATGCTCACCAGAGAGACAGAGAGAGAGAAAGCAAGAAACTACCCCCGGGGGGATGGCCATGCTGCAATCCCTCCTCCCCCATTCTCCTGTCGGGATCTTGGGCACGTACGCACATGCCCCGGTGTGCCCGGCGTGAGTTTTAAGTCGCCGCATCTGGGGCTTGGTCTGAGGTCGACTACGTGGCAGTCCAGAGGTAATCGTTACGCCACCTGCGGGTCCCCTCGGTCTGCAATGCAATGTTACAGACTAAGCCCCCAGAGACTCAGTTGTCCGTCAGTGGCTGCAGGGACCTCCCAAGGGCCTTTCCCATGTAACAGGAAGCCTGTAGGGAAGGAGGCCTGGACTCCAAACTGCGCACTATGCTCCCACCACACGAAAGGTAGAAGGGTTCAAGTCCATAGGGAGGAAAAAACAGCCCTCCCGAAGGACAGCTCTGTATTTAGGGTCATACTGGTGTCCCACACATGTCACCTTCTGCCCCAGCTCGCTGAGGCTTAGGAGACCCCTAGCTCACCGGCTGGGAAGAGCCCCTAACCCGTTCCCACTGCTCCCACGTTCCTGACAACTTTGTAGGTACCTCTGAAAGAGATCTCAATAGTCTCTGTGGGGAGGGAGTGGGCACGGAGGGGAAGTTGTTCAGTAAATACTTCCTCTTCTTTTTTTGAGAGGTTTTCGCTATAGGGTGCGTGTGCTCGCCAGACAGAGAGAGACAGACAGACAGAAAGTGAGAAATCATCCCCCGGGGGGATGATGGCCACACCGCAATCCCTTCTCCTCCATTCTCCTCTCAGGATCTTGGGCACGCATGCACACGTCCCGGGTCCAGGACGCGAACCGCGGTTGACTACGTGGGAGTCCAGCGACATAGTCATTACGCCAACTGCTGGTTCCCAATACTTCCTCTTCTTGACATCTATCTTCTCGTTATCAGCTCGTTTTAGCCTCCAGAGTGAACTTTTCCTTTCCTTTCCTTTTCCCTCCCTAATTGGGACAGACCACATTTGTTTTCCCTCTTTTAAAAGGACAAGGCTTTATTCTCCAGGCACCGAAGACTCAACTAGAGCAATTCAAGCTTCGAACTCACATTGTATTTCCCTTTGTTCTTCTCTAGAGAATAAATGTGAATGCACAGAGGAACCCGAGAACCAAGGCGCCGGGCCTGTCCGGGGGAGAACCTGACACGCGAGATCTCCCCTTAGCTCCTGCCTGCTCTGAGGAGCCACCACGCCCATCTCTGGCCTCATCACTTCTCACAACAGGCTGTGTCCCTGCCTCCAGGGAACTGTACAGCAGACATGGCGTCACCAGGCCCCGGTGAGCTGGCTAGGCAGCCTCCTCCTCCTCGCTGCGTGTGCTCCCTCAGCAGGATGGCCACCCACCTCCTCTCCCTCAGGCCGGCACACTGCTTCTCCCCTCCGCAGACCACGACAAGGGTCTCTGCCCTGCTCCCGCCCTCCCTGTGCTCCACACTGGAGCAGCCATCCTCCTCTCTCCTTTCCCTGGGCCCACCTGCTGCAGGCAACCTGGAGGATGAGGACTCTTCTGAGGTCACCTGGAGGGGCTTCAAACTGTGCCCCACAGCCCGAGCTCTCAAGGCAGCAGAGGTGAGTGTGATGGGAAGGCCAGGTAAAGCCCCACACCTGCCAGGACAGTCGGCAGGACATGGGTGTGCCAGTCTGCTGCTGCGACATCCCTGAAGCAGCAGCGGGGGCTCAGGCTCTTACCTCGTCACTTGGGTCATAATACTGCTCCAGATACGGGTGGGCCAGAGCCTGTTCCACTTCAATCCTCTTGTGAGGGTTGAACGTCAACATTTTGTCCAGTAAGTCCAGAGCTACGAGACGTGAGAGTAGAAGGAATAATTGCTGAAATACTTTCATTTCCTGTTTCAATAAACTGACCCCCAAACAATCCCACGCAGCATCGCGGTAGGAGAGCAGCCAGTACAGGGAACGCCTCTCAGACCTCGGTTCCCGTGATACTGTGTAAAGGCAGGTGCCGACTACCGGACAGTCACAGAATACAGTGTTCAGAAAGGCGACAAGACCAAGTAAGGGCTGAAAGCGGAAGAGTGGGGTTCACAGCCAGGTCTGCCTACAAAATCTACAGTCCTACACCACGACTCTTCTTTACGGGTATCAAAAGCAAATGTTTATGTATGAACACATCTCAGATCGAATCCAAAGTCCTCTTTGCAATCGTCAATTTGGCTCTGAGTACACAGGAGAGGCCTGCAATGTCACAGAAGGAAATAGGTTTCTCCCTCCAGCTCCTCGTTAAGTATCGTGGGTTACCACAGTGCCCTGGCCTAGCCTAGAGATTAGACTGTTTCTGTCAGACCCAAAGCTACAAGGATGCCCTCAACCTGATCAGTAGGCCAGCACTGAGTGACCTTTCAGGAGCACAGCAGCAGGAGCAAGCTAGCAGCTCACAGCTCACTCAGCCGCTGGTCCCTGCAGCTCGTGTCCAAACCCCACTGCTCCAGCCATGAGGACGGTCAAAGGGCCTGGCCTAGGCACAGCTGAGACAAGGGTGGAGAGAAATGTGAAGAAACATGCCCAGGAGTGGATGTCAACAAGAACGAATGCGTGCAAAGGGGTTTCTTTTAAAAACATACAATGGGGAACCAGCAGTTAGCGTAATGGCTATGTCGCTGAACTCCCACATAGTCGACCGCGGTTCACGTCCTGGACCTGGTGGCTTAAAACTCACACCGGGTGCATATGCGTGCATGCCCCAGATCCCGAGAGGAGAATGGAGGAGAAGGCATTGTGGCTTGACCATCCCCTCTGGGGGGTGATTTCTCGCTTTCTGTCTCTCTCTCTGTCTGTCTGTCTGGCGAGTGCACGCACCCTATAGCAAAAACCTCTCCAAAAAACCCCAAAAAAAAAACAAACAAAAAAAAACAGTGGGGGCCAGCAGGTGGCGTGGTGGTTAAGGGCGCCAGATTCCCACATGGCTGACTGCAGTTCGAGATCAAAGGCTTGCTTTCTTTCTCCCTCTCGTGTCAAATTAAAATAAAGAAATAAAAAGTTAAATAAAATAATTCTTAAAAACAAACAAACAAACAACAATGTTGCTGGCCCGATGGTTAAGGGCACTAGACTCCCACACGGCTGACCACGGCTTGAGTCCCGGACCTGGCAGCCTGCTTTGTCACTCTCCCTTTGTCTTCCTCACTGTGCCCCTCTCTGGTCGAATTAAAACATAAATAAAGTTAAAATAGAAAATAATTCTCTAAATTTAAAAAAATACAATTTTGGACTAGCAGATGGTGTAAAGGTCACATCACTGGACTTGCACATAGACGACTGTGGTTTAAGTACCAGACCCTGCAGCTTAAAACTCACAGCGGGTGCACGTGTGCCCGAAATGCCACGAGGAGAAGGGAGAAGGGATTATGGCGTGGCTATCCCCCCTCAGGGGTGATTTCTCACTTTCTGTTTCTCTGCTTCTGTATCTCTGGTGAGTGCGCATGCCCTATAATAAAAATCTCAAAAGGAAGAAAATGTTTACGGGGCCAGCAGGTAGTGTGGTGGTTAAAGGTTCTGGATTCCCACATGGCCGGCTGCAGTTCGAGTTCCGGACCTTGAGGCTTGCTTTTTTGCTTTCCCTTTCTCTCTCTGGTCAAATGAAAAAAAAAAACCTACAAACAAACAAACAAAAAACAAATGGAATTAAATAAATAACTCTTAAAAACAAATAAAGAAAAAAAAAATTAACTTCTTTTACGTAATGAAATTCAGACCAGAAGTTTCCTATTTAAACAGTAGGGCATTTCTTCAAATTAGATTCTAAGAGCCTGAGCCAGCCAGGTGGCATGGAGGTTAAGGAAGCTACATCCCACACAATCAAATACATGGTTCCAGGCCCAGACCTGATGGTTAAAAGACAAGCTGGGTGGGACCAGCAGGTGGCATGGTGACTAAGGCACTGGACACTCTCACATGGCTGATCACAGTTCAAATCCCGAACTCGGTGGCTTGCTTTCTCACTTTCCCTCTCTCTTGCTCTCTATCTCTGGCCAATTTAAAATAAATGAACAAATAAAATAGAATTAAAAAAAGAATTTTATGTATATATCTGTGTGTGAGTGAATAAATATATATTATATATGTATATATAAAAATAAAAAGAAAAGAGAAACAAGCTGGGAGAGTGTGCCTGTGTGCCCAAGATCCCGAGATGACAATGGAGAAGGGACTGCAGTATGGCCACCCCCGAAGGGCGCTTTCTTTCTTTTTCTGACTCCGCGGAGTGTACATACCCTATGGCAAATAAACAAACAAAACAAAACAAAAAGCCAGTAATCTCTACATTGTGTTTTAAATGTATTTGTGCTTCTGTGCACGTTTCCAATTCACATGGATGTACTTTTAGGAAAGGCTCAGGGAGGAGGATCTGGCTGGGACTGGAGCAGAGTCTGAGCAGCTAAGAGGTGCTCTTCAGGCCTGCAGCCACAACGCGGGTTCACAGGTCCATGGGCTGGCAGGTTGGGGAGGCAGCCCTTGCAGGGCCAGGACAATGTAGCACAGTGGTCAAGAACTCAGGTACCTCGGGCTCAAATCCACCTCCACCAAATACGTGGGAGACCTGTGTACAAGAGACATGCTTCCCTTGACCCAAACTTGTTGGTTTTAAGTCGGAAAATGCTTTAAGATGATTGGATGTTTTGCAGCTTAAGTATTTTTTATTTTTGGAGAGGTTTTTGCTATAGGGCACATGTGCTTGCCAGAAAGACAGAGACAGAGAGACAGAAAGCGAGAAATCACCCTCTTGGGGGGGGGACGGCCATGCCGCAATCCTTTCTCCTCCATTCTCCTCTCAGGATCTTGGGCACGCGCACACACACGCGCCCAACGGGAGTTTAAGCCACCGGGTCCGGGACTCAAACCGCAGTCTACTACATGGGAGTCCAGAGACATAGCCAACTGCTCGTCCCTGCAGCTTAAGTATTTCTAAAACAGATTTGTTAGTTCCTTCAAGTTAAATTCTAGGCCCTTAAACCTTCAGCAGAAATTTCAAAATAAGACAGCCGTTCTTCCCCTGAACATTTGAAAAATAAGGGCCTCTCCAGCCTTCTTGTACAACAAGTGTTACTACTGCATTATCTGCAGCTACAGAAAGCGAAAGGGACAGAAACGGGAAGCAGCTGGCAGGTGCCCGGCCCCCACCTCCCACATCACGTGGCGATTTGCAGGCATCACCCGGACAGCGGGACTCAGGGCTGTCTGTGCACGTGCTTGCTTGGACACGGGGTCTGCGTCCCCTGAAGACTAGCGTCTCTGTGGCCACGACTGTACGGGGCCATTCTGCCTCCTTGCTGCCTCCCAGCCTCCCACACCTTTTCAAACTTCAGAGTCCAGAGCAACCTGACTTCCACCCTTTCTTCTGATCCCTCAGCCTTTTCTCCTTCCTGTATCAACCGGGATTCCAGGAGGGGACGACTGGTGAGGGGATCAGGGGGCTCTCCAGGTAGACCTCTCTTCAGGCAGACGTCACCTGACTGGCAAAAACGCCAATCCTGGATCAACACTGTGGCCTGTCACTTCCATCCTCAACTCAAGTTTCCGAGCACGGCTAGAGAAAAAGACCCAGCAGCAAAACACGCCACTGCGTTAGCACTTGAATTCGCTGACCGCAGACCCCTTACACTTGTAAGAGTTACTGAGGGTCAGTTTTGAAAGGGACTTAACTTAGCTCAAATAACCGCTCAAGCACTTTTCCCGAGCAAACCGCTGTGCTCAGCATGCAGCAGAAACACGCCAAGTATGTTTCACTTGGTTGCCCCAGAGCATCACAAAGGCACAGTGTTGTGGGCTGGATTTAAGGAAGTGAGTACTCGACTGCTTCGAGGACACCTCTGTGCAGCTTGTGGTTTTCAGCTGTGAGGGCACGGTAGTGACAGCGCATCACTACAGAGAACAGCGTGAAGGACACCTCGGAAGTCGTGGGAAAACAGGTTTAACCTCATGGACACCTTAAAGGGATCCTGGAGACTTCAGGGGTCTAAGGAGCACACTTTTAAGGACTATCATGTGACAAAAACACAAGATGTCCAATCTCATCAAGACCCTCAAGAGGGACCAGCAGTTAGTGTAATGGCTATGTTGCTGGACTCCCACGTAGTCGACTGCAGTTTGAGTCCTGGACCCGGTGGCTTAAACTCACGCTGGGCACATGTGCGTGCGTGCCCAAGATCCTGAGAGGAGAATGGAGGAGAAGGGATTGCAGCGTGACCATACCCTCTGGGGGGTGATTTCTTGCTTTCAGTCTCTCTGTTGTTCTGGAGAGTGCACGTGCCCTATAGCAAAAATCTCTCCAAAAAAAAAAAGAAAGAAAGAAAAGAAAGACCCTTAAGAGTTCCATGAAAGCCTTGGACAACCCCTCCTCTACTCTAAGATTCTACCCCAATTGCACAATTTGAATTATGCCCTTTCTGCCAACTGACCCTCATTACTCTCAACAGATCTTTCTATTTTTTAGAGGTTTTTGCTGTAGAGCATGTGTGCTCTCCAGAGACAGACAGATAAAGACGCAGACAGACACAGTGAGAGGGAAAGTGAGAAATTATCCATGAGGATGGACACACTGCAATCCCTTCTCTCCAGTTTTCTCTCTAGATTTTGGGCACATATGTAAGCAAATGCATGCGCCTGGCATGTTTTTCAAGCCGCCAGGACCGGGACTTGAACTGCAAACTGGGGCATGCTGCCTTAGTGAACTGAACCATCATGCCACTGGTTGGTCTAGTATATGCTTTTCAAACATTAGGTTATCTGAGACATGGAGACAAGACTTCTTTCATAAACTGCATTTTAAATACAAATGAGG